GATGGTGTGTCCTAGGGAGCCATTGGGATTTTTTGTAGATTAGGACGTCCAGAAAGGGAAGTTGGTTATTTGCTTCTATTTCCATGGTGAATTGTATTTTGGGGTGTAGGATGTTGAGATCTGTGAGGAAGTTGTCCAGTTTTTCTTTCCCGTGAGGCCAAAACACGAAAGTGTCATCAACATAGCTAAGCCAGAGTCTGGGTTTGTGTTCAGATTTATCTAAGGCGTTAGTTTCAAAATGTTCCATGTATAGGTTTACACACACACACACACACACACACACACACACACACTGTACCTACGTACACATTTTAATAAATAAAACTGGAACCTAAAGTTAGGTCTGTAACTCTAGATTGAGTGGGCATTTCTGGGACTTGATTCTTCTGCATGGTCCAGGCAGGACTCAAAGCAGCTGCTGGAAGAGGCTGCAATGGGTTAATTTACTTCCCTCTTCGCGGATGAAGGTTCCACCTCCACAAGGAGATCAAGAAAGCAAAAAACAGGAAGAATGCAGAGAAGAGCAACAAAGATGAGGAGGATAAACCATCTGATGAGCTACTAAGGGTAGCCCAGAAGTCTTCAAACTTGGCAACTTTAAGACTTGTGGACTTCAACTCCAAGAATTCTCCAGCCAGCATAGATTCTTGGGTAGAATTCCTGGAGATGAAGTTCACAAGGCTTAAAGTTGCCAGGTTTGGGGACCCCTGGGCTAGCCTAACGAAGAGAAGGACCGAGGGGGGGTGTGACAAGATAGCAGCCCTCAGTTATCACTTCCAGGGTCAGTACTTGAGGACTGCCACAGAGAAGAAGGGGTCAACCTATTCTCCAGAGGCCAAGACAAGAAGCAATGGGTGGAAGCTCCCTCATTAGAGGGAGATCCAAACTAGAACCAAGGGGGAATTTCTTGATAATGAGAAACATTAGCCAGTGGAACAGCCTGCCTCCTGGAGTTGAGGTTTTCAAGAAAATGTTGGACAACCCTTTATCCAGGATGGTATAAGGTCTGCCGTCTTGGGCAAGGGGCTGTGCTAGAAGACCCCCGAGGTCTCCTCCAGCCCTAGGATTCCTGGCTGACCGAGGGGACTCTAAGGTTCCCCTGTCCAGTTGTGTCTGACTCAAGAGTGTGGGACGCATCTGTTTCGCGATCGAGGGAGCCAGCGTTGTCCAAAGACATTTTCTGTAGTTGTGTGGCCAACGTGGCTATACGCCAATAGCACACAGAACACTGTTACCTTCTCAATGAAGTGGTACCTATTAATCTACTCGCATTTGCATGCTTTCAAACTACTAAGTGGGCAAAACTGAGCCAAGGGACGGGAGCTCACCCCATCATGCAGAAACCGGGGTCTCGAACCTGGGCTGGCAGCTTTCCAGCTGACAAGCTCACCGTCTTTAGCCGCAAATACAGTGAATGTTAAATATTTTATTGATTAAGTTTGTTTTACTGCTGAATATCCTTTTGGGCTGCCTGGAAGCCACACTTGGCGAGAGAGAAAGAGTGGGTGGGTGGGTGGGAAGGACACCCCTGTCTGGCTTTCTCACAGTGGGCCACGTAGAGGTGGCTGCTTCTCCCTCTGACATGCAAGATTTCTGATTCTCCTACATTTTACTTTTTTTACTGTCCTTAATTGTTCCTGTTTTTATGTTGCCTGGAGAGAGAGAGAGAGAGCCAGCAGCGGAATAGGTAATAAGCGTTTTTATTACGTGAAGGAAGCTAATAAAGGAGCAGCAGGGAAGGAAGGAGGAGAGTTAAGGGGAAGCGGTGGGAGGCCACCAAAGACCCCTAAAAAGGAGCAAAGAGGCTGGCAGACTGGAGACCAGTAACGATGATGAAACCACTGAAGCCAGTCCAGTTAAAGCTGGGAAAACCCAAGATTAGCACGTCTGCCTCAGTGCCCGAGGCAGGGGGCTGGATCTGGTGATCGCAGGGCAGAGGTGCAGGGGACCCCAAGGACAAGCCCACCCCAGATGGGGCGACCCAGGCAAGAAGCCCCCTTATTGTTCACACGGTTCTGAAGTCTTAGACACGGCTGCTTGTTATGCTGGCCGCCTTGAGGGAAGGAAGGGAGGCGTTGTTCCAGGAGAGAAGGCCTCTCAAACCTTGGCAACTTTAGGACTTGTGGACTTCAACTCCCAGAATTCCCCATGTTGCGTTGAGTTGAAGTCTACGACTCTTAAACGCTGCCAAGGTTGGAGAGACCTGCAGGAGGGGGAGGAGAGGTTTCCGGGCAAGGGCATTTGTTGAAGGCCACCAAGAAGATCCTAAGCCAGGTCGGAACCGCTTCAGGGCAGGTCTGTGGGACAAGAGGCCGAGCGGCCCCTCCCGGGATTTCCGGCTGGTCAAATCCGTCATGCAGGACTTCCCTTCCCAAGGAAGAGTGGGGTGGGGTGGGGGCTGATGGGGCCCCATCTCTGAACAAGGAGGACTCCAACTCCAGGTCCTCTTGCCCAGATCGGCCCCGATTCTGTGCTCCCTCCCGGCCTGCCTCCTCTTGAATTATGCATAGTATTTGCCGTGATTCAGCTCTTCCAAAAAGCCTTTGGAGCTTTGTTGCACGGCTGAGCTCAATGGCACATTCAGGCCTCCTTTTCTCTCCCCCCTTCCCCCTCCTCGTTTGGAAAGAGCTGAGTGGGGGTCCCTGCAGGCTGCTGCTCTCCCTCTCGGCTTCTGGAACCCAGAGCCCAGGCATCCTGGAGAGAGAGAGGGAGAGAGCCAGGAAGGGCCTGAATCCTGGATCCGTATGCAGAAACACCTCCACCCCTTGTCTTGGGGGAAACCAAGCACCTTGGAGGGGGGGGGCTGGGCTCCTTCCACCCCCTCCTCAATCCGGATGAGAGACCTTAGAACTGAGCCCCCCCCCCCGTGGAACTCTGCCCCCACCCATCCTTGAGTTGGCAGGGAGCTCAAAAAGTCCTCCAGGGTGCTCTCATCTTCTCCTGCCTCTGTCCACAGTCACTGGGGTCCCCAAGGCCACCACTGGCTGTTTGCAGGTAGTGTCAGAATAAAGGGAGGGGGCATGGGGGGGGGAGGAAATGCTGTTGTAACCCTGGTTCGTCTCAGGACCACCTCAGCTGGTCCCCCACCCTCCCACCCTGGGACAAGAGGAAGGCACGGGGGAGGCTTGAGGGGACGGCATCAGAAACGCTGCCTGGACTAAGTGGGGGTCCTGACTGCCGAGGGGGAAAGAGAGGGGGAACCCTCATAAGGGCCACTTTGAGCAGTGTTTCTCAACCTTGGCCACTTGAAGATGTCCGGACTTCAACTCCCAGAATTCTGGGAGTTGAAGTCCGGACATCTTCAAGTGGCCAAGGTTGAGAAACACTGGCTTAGAGTGAGTGCTAGCACAGGGACCCCCCCTGAATAGGTCTTCCCAACACGCTCTTCCCATTAAGACCCCCCCCCCGTTCACCTGAACCTGCCCCCCCTCCTTGGGCTCCCTGGTTCTGCCTCTCGCTGCATTCCGAGCTGCTAGGGGGACCTTCTGGGCTGCCCCCCCTCAGGTCCTCCTGGAAGGGGACCCCTCCTCTTATGCATCCCTCAGGACCAGCCCTGCTCCTGGCCCACCAGCCATCTCCACGGCCCTTCCTTCAACCGGTCTGGGGGGGGGGGAATGCCAGCAACTCTACTGAAGCTGTTCCTGCTTCTCCCAGTCAGCCCAAGGCACGGGGGTCTTCATAAAGCCCCCTTCCCTACTCAGGCAGGGTCCTTCTCGCAACACCCATGCCTCCATTCGCTGCCCAAGGCTGCGGTCGTCAGCTGAGTGTCCGGCCGTCCCCTCCGTCCATTTTGTGGGGACAAAGGTGGTTGCAGCATCACCCGACCTGGGAATCAGCCGGGGAGGGCAGGCAGGCTGAAGGGAGGAGAAGGGGTCTGCCCCCCCTCTCTGCCGAGCCCCCCCCCAGGGAGAAGAAGAGCCAGGCCCCATGCGCCCCAAGCAGGGAGACCTCCTCTGGGTTGGCCCTCCCCACCAGGTGCCTGCCCTGGAGGGTGCGGGAGGAGGGGGCAGGAATGGAAGAGTCGCCCGGGGGCTCTGCTGAGTTCCACCCAGGTCAGCTGGGGAAGGGGAGGCTGGCGGAAGGAAGGAAGGGAGGGAGGAAGGCTGATGCAGATAATGGGAGGGGTAGAGGAGGAGGAAAATGGGGAGGGGGAGGAGGAGACCCTCCCTCTGCTGCTTTGCTGAATCTTGGACCCTCGCAGTGGAGGGCAAACCTCGCCCACCCGCATTTTCTTCCACCCATCCCAGCAGCAGGTGTGACCCCCCCCCCAACCTTCCCCCCAGCCCATCCCTCCCCCCACCAGGCAGCACCCGCTTCCCCCTTCTCCTCTGGGTGCCAACGAGGGGGAGCATAGAGCTACGGCGCAGGGGGGGGGGATTGGGTCAGTGGGAGCCCTACGGGGGTCTCCAGAAAGGAAGCCCCTCTCCCTTCTGCAGCAGGCCTGCCGGGGGGGGCACCCAAAGCCACCAGGCTGGTCCATCAGGAGGAACAGCTCCTCAGAGGAGCCCCCTGCCCATTCGATTGGGGGGGGGGGCTCGCGTGCTGCACACACACAGAAGCAGGCGCCCACCCCCTCGCCTCCAAGGCAGCCCGGGGGTGGCGCCCCTCCCCTCCCTCCCTCCCCCCGCGGGCGCTTACCTTTGGCGCCGCGCAGGACGAAGCCGAAGCCCTCATGCTCCCGTTTCTGCAGAACGGCCGCCTTCTCCTCGATGATGTAGTCGCTGGGCAGGAGAGAGCGGAGGGAGAGGAGGAGGAGGCTGGGGGGCGGCAGGGCGCGGGGGGCTCCTCCGCCCAGCCCCGACCTCATGGCCGCCCCGCCCCCTCGGCCCCCGCCCCCCCCCCCCCCCCCCCCCCCGCTCACCTGCCGCCGGACGCCGCGCGCCGCCAAAGCCCCAGGACGCCGCCGCCGCGGACGCCCAGCAAGGGAGCCGCCGCCGCGGCCGGCACGGGTGGCGGGCAGCGCGCGGTCCATCCTGACGCCGCCGCCGCGGGGAGGGAGGGAGGGAGGGAGGGAGGGGAGCGGCTCCCTTGTTGGGAGGGGGCGACGTTCCCCGGGAAGGGGCTTCTCTCGGGCTGCGGTCCTCCCCCGTTGCTAAGAAACCGCCTGTCATTCGCAGAGAGGCGGGGCGGGGGGAGAGGGCGGGGCTTGTGGTCCTCAATGGGAGAACTGGGGGGGGGAAGGGGGGGCTCCTCCCCAGCACATCCTCGCTTTGGATTGCGGGAGGGGGAGGGGAGGAAGCGACCCCACCTGCTTCAAGCCCCGCCCCTCCCCACTGCAGCAGGGGCTGCCTGGAGGTCTGGGAGCCCCTTGAGAGTTGCGCCCTTCAGCCCCTCCCTTGCCCCCCCCAATCCCGGAGACCCGGGAAAGTGCAGAGCCAGCCCAAGTGGGGGGAGAAGAATGGGGGGGGGAGACTCCTTTTCACACAGAGGCTTCACACAAGAGCGCAGGATTCACACTTACTGCAGCAGACTCACCAATACCCCTGACTCCCCCCCCCTCTCTCTCACACACTCTCACACTCCGCACTCTGGCTCAAGCCCCCCCCCCCCAGCCACACAGCGTAGGGGGGTGCTGCCCCCTTCAGCCAAGCGGACCCTCCTCCCCGCCTTCGCCTGCTGATTTGAGGGGTGGGCTGCGGGAGAGGTGGTGGTGGTGTCAGGCACTGCAGATCCTTGGGTGGGAAAGGCCCCCTTTGCTTCCTCAGTCAAGGAAAAGGCCAGCAGGCACAGTGGTTATTCCTACACAGCAGCCCTGAGAGAGAGCAGCATCCCTGGAAGCCTTTGCTGGCTTGGCTCTGCATGTGGATGGAGGGCCACCAGGAGATCTAGCTACCTCCCCCCCCCCTCGGGGTATGAGCCTGCCCTGGAAGTGAGGCTCCTGCCCTCAATGAGCCCCTTCTGACAGGGGCTGCAGAAGGGTCCCCACCTGCCTTTAGGCCACATCACCACAAAGGCCAAGCCCGTGTAGGAAGTCAGCCCCCCCCCCCCCGCATCCCTAGGAAAATGAAATATCCTGGGAAATATTGAAAAGGCAGAATATTATATTTCCCTGGATCAGGAATGGAGGGAGATGTTTTTAGGCGGGAAACAGACTCACTCTAAATAGCCCCCACCTTTGTCAGTCTATTCTACATAACGAGGATCTCCCCCCTTCAGCTCCAGGGTGATGGGATTAAGGCACGATAACATTAGCCCTTTACCCATCTCACCACAGGGCACGGGGGAAGAAGCCATGCGCAACCAAGGTTGGACTCAAAGCACAGCCTGGGATTCTGACAGAATACAAGCTCAAGATCAAAGGCCAAAGAGGGCATAAAACCAGAGGCTTTGAGCATCTCCCCCTCATTTCTTCTCCACCCAACATCTGGAGGCACCTGATCCCCCTTTCCTGTTCAGGACCCCAAGCCCTGTGGTCCTGTCCAGCATTCAACCGTCTTTCCAAGCAGCCCCCATCTTTCCAGAGTCTTTTCCCCCACTTGGAGCCGAACCCAGAAGGACGTTTCTTCCAACACACGGACGGAGCCCCTCTCCCTGCAGGGATGGGGGTCTCGCTTAGCTAAGGAGACCTTTCCCTAGGCAAGCAATGGGGCTCCAACCTGCCCCCCCCATGTACCCCCCCCCCCCCCCCCGCAGCAACCAGAGACAGCTTGTCTCCCACCCAGCAGGAAGAGCCAAAAGTTCCCAGCCGGAGGGATTTCCCCAACTGAGACGGGCAGCATATAAATCTAATAAATAAATAGAAGGTAACCAAGGAAGCCGGCTTTGCAAAGGGCCGAAGGGTCAGCCCAGGACTTCTTGGCCAAGAGAAGAAAACAGCTGCTCAGGGATCTTCTTCTCTGCAACTGGAGCTTCAATAAATGGGCCACACCTAAGCCATCCCATCGGATCAACCTCTGGGTTACCCCCAGGGGCCTCTGCTAAAGGATCTTGGGGGGTCCCTGGCTGGAGAGGGGAGGGGCTCCCGAGAGGAGCCGAAGGAAGAGCCTGATGTGAGCATACTTCCTCCAACTCTTTTCTTCCCAACAACACCCCTGTGAGGTTGCCTGGGCTGAAAGAGAGAGGGGGGCTGGACCAAAACCCCCACTGACTTCTGCGCCTAAGGCAGGACTTGAACTCACGATCTCCCACTCTCTAGCCTTAACCACTGACTGGACCAAACTGGCTCTCACTATATTATATAACCATATAGATATATAATACGTAAATCTATCCATGGCCTGCAACTCGGCTTCTTCTTTTAAAACATCTGGGCAGTTGAGTCAAGCATGGACCCTTTCTTTGGACGGCTGCTGTTGGGTGAATGCCTCCTTCAGCCCCTGACAGCCTGGTGGGCCTTCCTCTTCTCCTCCCCTCTGCTGGCTCCCCTCTTCTGGAAAGGGGCCCCGGGGCCCCCCACCTCTGCTCAGAGCAGAAAGGTAAGAATTCCCCCCCCCCTCAGGGACCACTGTTCAACCTCTTGCCTGGGAACGTCCAGTGGAGAAGAAGGCCCCAGCTGTCTAGATCAGTGTTTCTCAACCTTGGCAACTTTACGTCCTGTGGACTTCAACTCCCAGAATTCCCCAGCCAGCTGTGCTGGCTGGGGAATTCTGGGAGTTGAAGTCCACAGGACGTAAAGTTGCCAAGGTTGAGAAACACTGGTCTAGATGATGGTGCCCACCATCGCGCCAAGGCAGCCCCGGGAACTGTGGGGCCCTCTTCTGGGATGTCCCCCAGCCAAGGAGGATGGTCGTCCATTGGCATCGTCCCCCTCTGAGGTTTCGTCTCGGGCAGGTCAGGGAATTCTACGCCTACAGCAGGTATCCCAACCTTTGCAACTTTAAGGCCTGTGGACTTCAACACCCAGAATTCCCCAGCCAGCAAAGCGGAGGAATTCTGGGAGTTGAAGTCCAAAGGTCTTAAAATTGCCATGGTTGGGAAACCCTGGTTCAGAAGCTACAAGAACCAGGGAAAAACTCTGGTTGCCTTAAAAAACCAAACCGTCTTGTTCAACCACCAAATGCCTCTCGACCCCTCCACTCGTCTCCTTTCCTTTCTCCTCCTCTCCACTCCTTGGCCGAGGTCGCACAACTTTGGGGACACAGCTAAAAGGAGGGTTTGTGCATCGCTCGGGCTGCTTGGCCCTTCCTGAGCATTGGTTGTGTTTGCGCACAACCTCCCTCCTTCCCCTTGCAGGTCACTCCTGGCCTGTCCCTTCCGCTGTCTCCCTCTGAGGCTTCCTCTCGTGCATGGTGGTTCGTGAAGCCCGCCCCATGGCCGATGTTCTCCTGTAGCCGAATTAGCCTGGCCCACCTCGCCCCGCGGCGGTGGGGGCTGAAGAGCAGGAGGGACGGGCACGGGGGATACCACAACGCTACACCCAGCTTAGGAAGGGTTGGGCCCACAGACCCTTCAAGTGAGGCTCCTCTGCACTGACGGCACCGTTGCCATGGAAACGACACTCACAATTCGAGGCGCGAGACAAGGAAGCGGCACCCAGAGGAACGGCAAAACTCAGCCAGAGTCAGACAAGCCCACTCCTCGGCTTTGCCCCCCTCTGCCCCCAACCTGGTGCTTCACTCGTGGCCGACTCTTGGTGATTCTAGCAGCTGGGTTCTCACACTTGGAATAACTTCATTGTCGCATTGAATGCACGCTAATCGTCATACATTAAAATGAAATATCCTTGCGTACAGCTCTCAAAGGGCCACCACATCCAATATGAAGGTTGGACAAAATTGAATAAATGAATAAATGCATACAAAATTATATATATATAGACACATATATTATATGACAGAAACAACACAGTCTAGTTTGAATGTATAAATGCACGTGGTGAGAGAAACGAATCTTGCGAGTTTGCCAGATGGATGGCCTGGGGAACAAAGCTGTTACAGAATCTGTTAGTCCTGCTAGAAATACTTCGAAACCTCCTCCCAGAGGGGAGCAACAGAAACAGACCATGAAGTAGGTGTGTGGGGTCTCTAACAATGCTTTGAGCTCTAAGCACAGAGTGCTTATAAGCAGCATCCTTCCTATAATCTCCTCAGCTGTCCTCACCACTCTCTGTAGGGACTTTCTACTGTCCTCACCACTCTCTGTAGGGACTTTCTCTCTGCTGTCCTCACCACTCTCTGTAGGGACTTTCTGAGGCACTGCTGCCACAAGAGGGATGCAGTTTGTTAAAATGCTCTCAATCATGCCTCTGTAAAAAGTGGCCCGCACAGAAGGAGAAAGAAGTGCTCTCCTCAGTTTACGCAGGAAATGCAGGCGCTGGTTTGCACGCTTCACTAAGGATGATGTGTGGAGAGACCAGATTGTTAGTTATGTGGACCCCTCCATACTTAAAACTGTTGACCAGCCCTACAGCCGCATCCTTGATCCTGAGTGGAGTATGACTATGCCGGCTCGCTTCTTTGAGTTTTTTCTGTCCTCTGGCTGGTTTCAGCTTTGATGGTGGGGACCTCACACACCCGGGAAGCATCTCTGGGTGAAAGGTTTGAGCCGGTCCTTCTGTTGATCTTAAGCTTCCTGTAGGCTGGATCTCCAATAACCCTCTGCTTAATTTCCAGAGGTTCCGAGATCCTGCACCAAATTGGCCTCTTTCGTGAAGAAGGAAGGCAGGCTTTGCCTCACTAAGCACATGCCTGTACATGACTCCAATCAGGACCTTTGAGGGGGGTCCTCCTTGGAGATCAGTTTCCATCCATTGTTTCTTGTCCTGCCCTCTGGTGCTTTGGAGAAGAATTTGACCCCTTCCTCTTCTTTGTGGCGGCCCCTCAAATACTGAAAGAGTGCTATGATGCCTCCCCTGGTCCTTCTCTTCCCTAGACTAGCCAGGCCCAATCCCTGCAACCGTTCTTTGTATGCTTTTGCCTCCAGTCCTCTAATCCTCTTGGTTGCTCTTCTCTGCCCTCTTTCCAGAGTCTCCTTAACTTTGTTTACATGGTGGGCACCAAACAAGCTCAGCAGGATGATCCCCTCCCCCAATTTCAGAGACAGATCAATGCATGCAGAGGAAAAGGCCTCCTGAAAAACTGAGAGGCATCATGGGGCCATCAGAAGTCCAGAATCCAGCTAATATACTGGGCAGGACGGACAGGCAGACGGGCCCCCTCCCCTTGCAGAGTTCAACCTGCCTTTTTTCAGATGAGCAGAAAATGCCCCACAAAGGAAGACAATCCTTTGAAACGGGTTTTAAAGAGGACCAGAGAAATAATCGATTGTCTTCCCCATCTCTCTTCATCAAGCATTTAAGGCAATTAGAGGCTGTGCAAAATGAAGGGAAGAGGCAGCTGTGAGGAAGAGGGCCTGGAGGTGAGGAATGAGCCCAGCCTCTGCCGAACGTGATTTCATTAACCACGATTTGGGGGACAAGCCATGGCAGGCTGGTTCGTATTTGGGATCAACAGGGTTCACATTCATCGAAGCACGTGAGGATTGAATTTAATTGGGGTGTGTGTGTGTGTTTCAGTGTCACTCCATCTCCCTGCTCTTCTCCTCTTTGTTCCTAGAATCACAGAGTCCCAGGGCTGGAAGGGACCTTGGAGGTCTTCTAACACAGCCCCCTGCCCAAGGCAAGAAGATTCTCCTGGATCCCCTCTTCATTCCAGGCTTTCCCTGTCTGCTCCCCCTGCCCCACATCCCTCCTGGGCTCTGGGACTTCCCTGTCTTGCTGAGAAGTCTTGCCTGGAGGTCCTGGTGGGGCCTCCAAGCTTCGCCTCCCAGCTGATGCTCCCATGTCCTCTGGCCGGAGACCGGGATTAAACAGTGAGATTTGAGCCCTGATGATGTTCCCTAGTTGGGTCATGAAACGTCTGCGAGAAAACCACCCAGCTCAGAGAGCACCCAGGACCCTCAGTTCAAGCCTGAGCTACAAAAATTTCCCTTTCTTGGGTCTTCAGCAACCCAATTTCGTGAATCTGAAACCCGAACCGGAGAAAACTGCACAAGACAGACGCATCCATGTTCTCTCTCTGCCTCTGTCTCTCTCACACGCTACACGCATGAATCTAAGCAATAAAATACAAACCCCCCCCCAAAGCCTCTGCCAGGCAGATTCCCGGCTGACCGGCCTGACCAAATGCAACCCCTTCTTTCTCTTCCAAGCGCCCGTCCTTCTGAGCGAATCCCCCACTAGGTCAATGGCAAAACGCCATCCAGGTGAGGGGGGGGAGGTTCTTAGCCACCCGATAATTTCTGATTTGCTCGCTAAATTCAGACATCATAGGGGGAGGGTCTTCCGTCTTCCTAAAACGTCGGATTTCCATTGTCCCGTTGAGGGAGGGAGGGGGGGAGGAGGAGGGGCTGCCTATGAACACCTGAGCAGGAGAGAAGGCTGGTGCCTTCCTAAAGGTCCTTTTGTACTGAAGACTGACAACATTTATGGAAGGAAATAACCGCCGGTTAGAAGACTTTGCAGTCTTCTAGGTCCAATTCTTTCCTTCCCTCCTTTCCCCTCATTTTCAGTGTTAGCAGTTGAACCGTCTACTCCTCCACAGAGTTTTTATAAGCCGCTCTGAGCAGTTCAGAGAACCAGCCTCTCGCCCCCAACAAGCTGCATCCTCATTTATTTTATTTATTTATTTATTAGACTTATATACCGCTTCCTAGGGCTTTCAGCCCTCTCTAAGCGGTTTACAGAGTCAGCATATCCCCCCCACAGTCTGGGTCCTCATTTCAACTTTGAGCTTCAAACATTCTCCTTTATTGATACAATTTATTTATTA